TGTGTGTGTGTGTGTGTGTGTGTGTGTGTGTGTGTGTGTGTGTGTGTGTGTGTGGCCATGTGGGAGGAGTTTCCATCTCCTCGGCTGGCTGAAGGCACGAGCTGACGCCAGGAGGAAGAGGAGTGGTGTTTTAAGAAAGGCAAAGAACAGAGGAGAGGATTTGATGAAATTAAATGTGAAGTGTTCCCCCTCCTCTCAACCCGCTGTGGTTTGAAAGATTTATAAAGCTGGTGAGGGGAGAGGTGCCTCCCTGCACACTTCCAGAGTGGAGGAGGACTGAGGGTGAGGCTTGATTTTAAAGTATATTCTAAAATGAAACAAATGGACAAAGCAATCATTAAAAAAAAAACAGATAAATTGTGAAACTGGAATATTTGTCACCACATCTGTTAGTTGTTGAATCTGCTCACTGTCTTTCCATCTTCCTGGCAACACTTTGAGGAGGTCCTTTTCTGATGAGACATGGTTTGATGGGACCACACAGAGCCGATCAACCCCACCCAGCACCTTCAGGATGAACTTTAACAGAGATGAGCCTTCTTCTTGTCAGACATCAGTGTCTACTCATAAATGCGCTACAGAAGGAATGGGCCGCAAATTCCCCCAGAAATGCTCCACAAATGTGTAATAAAAAAGGGTCAAGTCAAAATCAAAGTACATGCAATCTTACCAAGCATCTCCACACAGGACCAACGCTGCAAACTGATAGATACATCAATTTCTAGACATAAAATTAAGAGAATAAACACAGAGTCAGAATGCAATTTGCACAAATAGTGCAAAAATATACAGTACAGGCCAAAGGTTTGGACGCACCTTCTCATTCTAAGAGTTTTCTTTCTTTTCATGTCTATGAAAATCGTAGATTCACACTGAAGGCATCAAAACTATGATGTGCGAAGCAGTAACCGAAGCAAAAGGTGGCTACTTTGAAGAACCTAGAATACAAGACATATTTTCAGTTGTTTCACTGTTTTTTTGTTAAGTATATAATTCTACATGTGTTAATTCATAGTTTTGATGCCTTCATTGTGAATCTAAAACTTTCATAGTCATGAAAATAAAGAAAACTCTTTGAATGAGAAGGTGTGTCCAAACGTTTGGTCTGTACTTTAAATCTGTAATCCCACACAGCTCAGTTAAAACTAAGTTCCAGATAAAGTAAAATAAACAAATAAATAAAAAGTTCTGATTYAGGCATACTCCTTCACTTAACTGAATAGCCACGACTTTATCAACATCTCAGGATATGTCCTTATTAGTAAAGGAAAGCCTTTTTTTGTACATTTTCCTGCACTGATTCTGCATTTTTACACCGCGTATCGATGTGTTGTAGTCACATATGTGTTTACACACCTGGCTGGTGGATGTGTTTAATCAGTTTGTAAAATGTTTATTAATCTATTTTGCAAATTATTATATGAGGTTAAAATAGTTTAATTTTTTTAAACTAGGCTGGTGTTTTGCTACTGGAGTATGTACTGTATGTATGTATGTATGTATGTATGTATGTATGTATGTATGTATGTATGTATGTATG